ATCACAAGAATTTCCCAAATGAATTTGGCGGTTTCATCTCCTGTCACCATTGCTCTACGCGGTGCGGCGATCTGGCATTGGTGGTTTTGTAAAACTGTGATGTGGGAAGAACAAACACAATAGATCTGTAAGCTTGCAATTTGTTTAAATACAGTTGCGCGCAATTTACTTTCCGTTGATTGCAAAGATTACCCACTAATGGATGTAACTCGTATTTAGCTTGTAACGGCAAAGGCCATTGGAGGGTGTAGTTGGGAAACTGTATGCAAAATTTGATGTTGGAACTGTAATCGTGACCATTTCTTATTATTATGAAGACATAAGTGTATTATTTTTTTTTTATTTTTGTCTGAAAAGAGGTTGCTCATAGGAGCTGAATGCATGGGTGAATGGAAATATTTCAAGGGGTTAGATTGTGAGGCCGATGCCATAATGATTTGGTTTTTGGGTCGCATTTATGCTTCTATCCTTTTTGTTTTGGGAGTTCTTGAAGGTGACAGGCACTGCAGTAACAATATATGTCAACGGGGAAAATAGTGTTTGCAAGTAGTGTAGCACAAAGAGCTTAGCAACATATGGTTCTTGTGAGAGAAAAGATCATGTCAATTTTTGTTATTTGAATGAGCCATCTCGGACTGTTTAACTTGAGGACAATCTTCGAATTTCCACAAGATAAAAAAGATCATGTGAATTTATGTTATCTGAATGAGCCATCACGGGCTGTTTAACTTGAGGACAATCTTTGAATTTCCACAAGAGAACAAAAGATCATGTCAATTTATGTTATCTGAATGATCGTCGAATTTCCTTGGCCTTTACTTTTTTTTTTTTCCCGAAAATNATGATAGGAAGCTCAAATAACACGGAACATAGATACAAAGTCCAAATACAAACACGGGCAAAACCCAAAGACAGCCGCTAGAAATGGGAGACCAGGCGCGGTCTAGACATAAACTAACAAACCTATAGGCAGCTAAAACCAGTTGAGGTCCTACAGATTACAAGACACAACTACAAACATAGAAAAGACTAGTACAAGGACAAAGCACTATCCCAAGACCTAAATCATCCCTCCACTAGTACCACACGCCTCAAAACAACTAAACAGACTTTAACTCTAACCACTCCCGAACCTCTTGCTTCACTATGCAAAGCTCTGGGAGCCATTGCTTCTAAAAGATCCAAAGGTTATGTGCCTTTCAAAGCCATCAAAGAAGATAGGTCGAGAGTTGAATCCTATCCTCATCAATGGCTTTAGAAGACAAAGAACAAAGTTGCCACGACCAGTCAGAAAAAGAAGTACCTTCAGATAGAATGCCATCCCACTTCATTGGAGCTAAATTCCACTTTCTTTTAGCTTTGCAACACCCCCAGAAAAAATATTCAGAAGTCTCCTCGGCATCCCCACAAACTGCACAAACATGATCCACCCTAACTCCCCTTTTGAGGAGGTTAACACTCATAGGGAGGCTCCAGAAAAACACTTCCATTGCATACGGAGGCCTTTATATTAGTATGTCTTTATGTCTTTATGATGATGAGAGCATTGTCAAGGCTCTGAGTATTATTACACGCAATTTTTTCAGTTGAAGAATCAGAAGTACCGTTTGACTCGAGCAAGAACACAAATCAGAAGTCTGACGAACGACGTTCCAATCATCCAATTAATATATTCACCCTACAGAAATAAATTGGGGTAGAGATATTTAAGTAAATAAATAAATAAAATTATTTGTGTCTTATTTAAATATAGAAAAATGCTACAAGTACATAATAAATGTACATAGAGGTGTACATAACACTTACATGGAGTGGAGTCTACTTGATTTTTTATTTGAGAAATGCTATAGGTAAATAATAGTGTACACAGAGGTATACATAACACTCACATTAAGTGGATCCTACCAAAAATAAAACATCAAGTGGACCTCACTCTATGTGAGTGTTATGTACATCTCTATTGACATTTATTATGTACTTGTACCTTTTGATAAGACCACTTAATGTGAGTGTTAAGTATACCTCTATGTACACTATTATGTGCCTATAACATTTCTCTTAAAAATATTACAAAGCTATATGCGTGAGTGTAAGTCCTACTCATATGTTATATGTATTCAAATAAATCAAAATTGAATTATGAACTTTTGTAATTGTAGTTCATATTTATTTTCATATAATTTTCAAATAAAATTTTAAAATTATGAAACTTATTAATTAATTAATTAATTAACCAAATATAATAGAGTAATCCTACCACTTTGGAGACGACGGGTTTGACCCGCACTAGTTTCACAACGGGCCTGTTGAAAGTCAACGTAATCTAACTGGGCTGTCAACAAGTCCACAGCCCATTACATATACGAATTCCGTTCATGCCGCAGAATTCAGTTCACAAAAAAACAAAGTTCTATTATTTAGGAAAACGAAGAAAATTTCACTTCGTTTTTTCTTTGAAGGATTTAAGACGAACACGAAAGCGACTAGGACGCAGGGCGGAAATCACCACTGCAGATATATAGCAATCACAATTGGTGCCGTTCAAGTAGGAAAGTAATTTTTTGAAGAGCGAAGAATTTTCTGGATCGGGTCGTACCAGGACGCAATTGCGAATTCAAGTTCATTTCAAACCTAAGTTGCCCACGCATTTGATCTGCTAAAATTGGATAGTTAGGTTTCGAGTTATGAATTTGTACCATTTGTTGAAACGCTAGGACATTCAATCTTTTTCCCTTGTGCATTTTGTGGCTTTGGGGTTGCTAAGTGTGCTCGTATGTGATGCAGAGGAGTTTGGAAGCAGGAAAGGGATTATGTCGATAGATTTGATTTTGAAACCTTCGTGTGGCGGCTGTGGATCGACAGTAGAGCTTTATGGCAGCACCTGTAAGCACCTCACGCTTTGCGTGAATTGTGGCAAAACTATGGCGGAGAATCGTGTGAAGTGCTACGAGTGCGGCACCATCATAACTCGCCTGATAAGGGTTCGTGATCTTTGATAATTTTGAACTTCATTTTTTTGTGTAAATTGGTGTTGGATAAAAATTTGTAGCTTACCTGCTTAAATTTGATATCTTCTGGTTATAAAAGGCTTATCAGAGTTTTGTAAAATCAACTTTGGACCTGTTAACTAATCCCTTTAGCCTCTTTATCTCTTTCTCTCTCTCTGTGCGCGTGTGTGTGTGTGACTGTGTGTGTTCAATGAGCCAAGTGTTTATGACTCACGTAGTCACAATTATGTATACCCGCAACATTTGATCAAAGGAACGGATTACAGAATATCTTAATATCTTTGTACCCGTGCTTAAAATAGCAAGTTGGTTGAGAGGTTGAGTAGCCTCTCGGTTGGTGCATTCATTCTGCTTAATATAACAAAATCAATACCTTCTTTTGTTAGTTTACTACAGCTATATGTCTCACTTCTTTAGGCTGCTGGACAGTAGGACTTCGAGCAATGAACAAACCTTTACTCTATGAATTATAGTTGGCATTGTCAGAATCCAAGTTTTGATGACATCTTTTCAAATTTATAATAGATTCTTACGACTGTAACATTGTATATGTTCGAGATCATTAATAGATTCTTCATTCTTACGACTAAAACATTGTATATGTTTGAGATCATTAATAGATTCTTCATTCTTACGACTGAATCATATTTCAACTTTCATGCTGATTTTACGCAATTTCCTCCTTTTGATATGTTCAAATTCGCCGTTATTGTTTTGTGTAGGAATATAATGTTCGGGCGTGTTCCAGTAGCGACAAAAATTATTTTATTGCAAGATTTGCCTCAGGATTGCCGAACTTTAAGAAGAAAAATGAAAATAAATGGTCGATGCAAAAAGAAGGTCTGCAGGGGCGCCAAGTTACTGATACCTTGAGGGTAATTCACTAACCAATATGTTCAGCTCTTTATTTTTGGCAATTGCCCAATTTCCTAGTATGTTTATTATAAAGCAGACCATGCAGGGCAGGTGTGATAATTCTCTGGTCAATTTTGATCCTCGCTATTGATTTCATGTTGGAGTTTCATCAGATAGTTCTTATGAGTAGAGATTTAACTATAACAAGTCTGTTATATTAGAATGTTACTGTCATGGAACTTTCTGCTAGACATTAATCCTTATTTATTGACTCATTTCAGGAATCGAATGAAACTGTTGTGAAAGTAGTTTACAAAACTTGCTTTAGTGAATAGTGATAGCAACATAACAGTCTGATCGTTGCTTTAGTATCTATGGATGATTAGCTTTATGTTGCTTCCCAGTAATTCTTGTTTCTAATTCTAGCTGCTTTCTAACATCATATGGTTGCATGCGTAGGAGAAGTACAAGAATAAACCTTGGCTGCTCGAAGACGAAACGGGCCAGTTTCAATATCATGGGCCACTGGAGGGTTCACAATCAGCGACATATTACCTTTTAATGCTTCAAGGGAAGGAATTTGTTGCTATTCCTGCTGGTTCCTGGTAATCGGTGTTCCTGGCAGTCATCTTAATTGAGTTTGCATATTTGAGTCACACTCGGTTGATTTTAGGTACAATTTTAATAAAGTGGCACAATATAAGCAACTGACTTTGGAGGAAGCAGAAGAAAAGATGAAGAATAGAAGGAAAACTGCTGATGGTTATGAGAGGTGGATGATGAAGGCAGCAAACAACGGACCTGCAGCCTTTGGTGAAGTTGAAAAGTTAGATGATAGGGAAAGTGCAGCTGGTGGCGGGAGGGGACGTAAAAAGACCACTGGGGATGATGATGAGGCCAATCTTTCAGATAAGGGTGATGAGGATGAAGAAGAAGAGGCAGCAAGAAAGAGTAGACTAAGTCTCAATAAGAAACGTGGGGATGATGATGAAGAAGGTCCTAGAGGCGGTGATCTTGACTTTGATGATGATGATATTGAGAAGGGTGAGAACTCGTCTCCTTTCATAATTTTTTACTTTGCTTGAAGGTTTTGGCAGTTGATCTATTGAATGGGGTTCTGAAGTGCCACATCTAATTTTAAAATTGTTTTTATCAACGACATTTTTATTTCAACTTCCTTTCTTCACTCATGTAGCCTGTTATGTGGTAACATATTTCCTGTGATGGATTATATTGAGTTGCATGTCATTTCTCGTGATTCTTGTGCTGCTCCACTTTATGTACATGACAAAATGTTCCAGAAGCAAACAATTTTGCGAGAATAAAACTTTTAGCTTTTAAGTGAAGTAATAACTTGACAAAAAGATGATCATTGACCAATGGCTTTTGTAATTATGACACAGAAGTAGCAACTTCTGCATTAAAAAATTCATTTTGTTTCTTTCTAATTGTTTTCCATTATGTCCAGGCGATGATTGGGAACATGAAGAAATCTTTACTGATGATGATGAAGCAGTTGGAAACGATCCTGAGGAACGGGAAGATTTGGCCCCTGAAATTCCTGCACCTCCAGAAATTAAGCAGGTATTTGTTTTCACATTATTACTACTATGCACACAATACATGTCAATTGTTAAATGTTAGGTTATTTTAGAAACTATTTTGTCAAGGCCTAGCCTGGTTACAACAAACTTTGACTATCTTCAGAAATTATAAACAACTTCTAGAGATTAGTATTTACTTAGGATTCTGTTTCTTGATATTGCCTCTGTGCAACAATGTAATGTAGTAAAAATAGTTGGGGTCATTTGTCTTTAGAATGATAAAGGAAATCGTTAAAAGGAGAATAATGTTGTGATCTAGAACTCTGGGAAAATAACCTGAGAAAATCAACATTTCTTATTGGTTATCTTTCTCTCTGAACAAGATGCTAATTCTAGTGCATGGTGAAGTGTATTATCTTTGTCCTGTTCCTCTTCGGAAGGGAAATAAAATGATTCCTTCTAACCTCCCTTACTGGATTTTATATTTTTAATACTGCATCCTTTTGGAATTTTTATCCTTGTGAGAATGTGTTCCTTCTTTAATAGCAGTATCACCACCAAATTCGTCTTCTAGTATTGTCATCCTGTAAGCATTCCGTTTATTTCAGGATGATGAGGATGAAGATGAAGGTGAAGAAGAAGAGGGAGGGTTGAGCAAATCTGGAAAAGAGTTGAAGAAATTGCTTGGGCGAGCTAATGGGCTAAATGATTCAGATGCTGAGGATGACGACGACGATGATGATGTATGTTTCCTAAGCCCAGTTTTTGACTGTTCTCTTGGAAAATTTATGAATATGATTATTTCTTCTGGGTGATTTGAATTTTTAAACATTTTGAGAGGCATAAGAAAATGTCAAGAGGCTGGATTAACTTAAGGTTTACATAGGTCCCGGGCATGATGTTACAAATAATGTTCTTATGCCTTTTGATGGTTTCCACTTGGCGAATATACTAGAAGACTGGATATTCTTGCTTATGTAATGAAGAATTTGAAACAACTTGAAATTGATTGGGTTGCTGTGCAAGATCTTTGGGAAGAGTAAAATTTTCTTTTCTTTTGTTAGACGGAAGACGATATCTCTCCTGTTCTTGCCCCAAAGAAGGAAACACCTAAAGAAGAGCCAGTTGATAACACCAGTCCCCTTAAATCAACTACTTCTGCTGCTGGTCGTGGAACACCATCTACGTCAAAGTCCTCTAAGGGCAAAAGAAAAAGTAACGGCGAGGAATCAAAGACAACTAATAATGCACCTACAAAGAAAGTGAAAACAGAACAAGTGAGTGATTCTATAGGCAATTATTGACATTTTCATTTTATTTTATTTTTTTAAAATTTTTCCGTTGTGCCTTTTAAAGTAAACTGTTTCCCGTATTTTCATCTTATTCTGTAAAACTTTTCATTGAGTATCCAGGATGTAAAGCCTGTCAAAGAAGAGCCTACTTCTACAAAAGGCAGTGTACCTACTAAAGGCGTATCACCACAAACATCATCAAAAAGTGGGTCAGCACCATCTACTGGGCCAGTCTCTGAAGAGGAAATCAGGGTTGTGCTTATGCAGAAGAAACCAGTAACAACACAGGATCTCGTAGCCAAATTCAAATCTCGACTGAAATTGAAAGAGGTCAGCAATTTTGTTTGATAAAGAGGTGGTTTGGCAATTTCTCATTGATTTAATGTTGATTGTTGCATATTTCTGTTCTGTCTCTTTTTTATCTTCATATTAGTGGAGTGGGTCTAAGTCCGACCTCATTGTTGGCATTGGGAAAGGTTGTGTTTTGTTTTTCAGATCTTGTTTTTCAAATTATAGGGATGGTATTCAGGACCCTGTTATATGAGCTTAAGAATCTTATTGCTACCATTAGAAGATTTATTGTTACCATGCGTTTAGAGCTGCTTACTTTTCAATGTAACAAATTTGAAACTCAACTGTTTCGGTTCGCTTTGTTAGATTATTGTAATGGAAATCATCAGGCTTGATAGGGTAAAGCATTCTATTACTCGTCTTTCTTTACCCTATCACCAATCCATTAATGACTCCAGCAAAATGCTGATCGTACATTTACTCGTGTGATCCATTTTCTGTCTGTTGCTAAACTCTAACATAAACGATCAAGTCCTATGTGTTGATGGCAATCGACTTGTTTTCAACATTTGATTTGCCTTTTGTTTTTTTCAGGACAAGGATGCCTTTGCAGCTATATTAAGAAGGATATCAAAGATTCAGAAGACAAATGGGGCCAACTATGTTGTCCTCAGAGAGAGATAGTTGGTTCATCTTTGACTAGTGTAACTTAAACTACACTTGCTTTAATGTAACTCTTTCAATATCATGTCTCGACCTGGAAATGATTTGTACTATTTGTGCATTTTAAACACTGCCAACTTGATTTAACTGTGCATGACATCTGAACTGCAGTCCTCTAGCAATGATGAGGGAAATACTTGAAAGAGTTCAAATGCAATTTACAATTGCAATAATGTGCAGTACATGGTAGTTTTCTTTCGGAGAAAAGGACTGCACTTGTTCTCATAATTTGAAATGTGAATGACAATAGACTTATAAGCTCTACATTGCCAATGCATCTGCTGTGCTTGCATTGATTCATTTTAACCTTACCTTTTATCTAGTGATTATCCCAAGTTTGCCTTCTAAAACCATTCACAACTGCTTGCAATCAAAATGGAGTAAAATTGTAAGAGTATTCACATTTCCATTAGATTCAACATAACTCCAACTTGGTCTTACTTCTAGCTATAAAGAAACAAACTTTTCATTTTCTTCAACACTTTCCAAGTCTACTTTTTGAAGATACAGATGTCTACCCAACAAAACCATATATTCAAATTCTAATGCAGAGAAAGAGTCGGAGGGAAGGAGAGAAAGATAAACATCACACCTTAAATTAATAGACTTCCAAAGTCAAGGGAAGTAAGTCAAATATGAAGTTACACAACTGTTGCTGCTGCTACTACGACTCTTTCTTTGATACACAAACACACATCAACGAAAGACTTATTTTGTCAAACAAACTACTAAAACAAACACCATTGCAACTAAAAGTCACACCTACACGACCACATAGCAAATCAACAACCCAACAAACATCACAAGAGACAAGTTGTTCAAATAGGCTGCTGCAGAGGGTGGTGGTCTAACGGGCTGCGGTGGTGGCCTAACGGGCTGCGGTGGATCATAAGGTGGAAATGGCTCGACTGGAGGTTCGTGAGGTGTAAATGGCTCGAATGGAGGTTCGTGAGGGTGAGGCTCGTATTCTTGAGACTCGACGGGCACATGCAGCTTAAGCCCATTTTTGCAGTTATCTGGGTTTGCGCTAGTGAAGTACCTTGCACCTTCTTTCTTTAGTTCGATTTGGCTAATAGGGTCTGTGTACAGTTTGATTGGGTTTGAGAGATCACATGAGTGAAAGTCCTCCGGGCTCTCAAGTTCCACGATGTTGTTGTCTGTTCCTGAACAATTGAACGCTGCTCGATGGTCGAGCTCAGTTATTTTCCATAAATAATAGAGTTAATCAATTATGCAAACCCATCTAACCCAGCTTTCTGTATTTATTTGATTGTTTTCTTTTGAATTAAAATTTTGTATGGTGTGGTTAGAACAAAGAAATTGCAGTTTTGTGTACTAATTAGTTATGATTAAGGAACAAGTTTAAGCCTTGCTTATGTATCTCAATTTCAATAGTATTTTTTCGATAAGAACTAAAAAGTATTTATAGACATAATTTTTAATATTGAGTCTGTTCTACGATAGACCCGGCCATTGACCCGGTGGCCCGGATGCTATGATGGGTCAATGCCCGGACCGGATTAAAAAATGAGTGCAAGTGAAGCAATCCAAAAGCAGTGAAAAAAGAATGAAAGAAGTTGCTTTAACCTTTGTGCAATGAAATTAACCACACAAACTTTTTCACTTTTAACGCATAACCCATGTTACAAGCAAAATCTAATTAGTCTACCAAAAAAAAACCAAAACAAAATATAAATATAAATATATAAAATAAAATAAAAACTCTGGTCCATATGGGCCAAAGCAATCGAAACAAATAGCTGCAAATCATGCAATTAATTAAGAGACTACGAAATTCTAACAAACAAATTGCAATATCTCTTCAACCCCAAAACATATCAATCATCTTTTGCTAAAAGAGAAAGAAAACAAAGTCTAGCAATCACAACCAAAAAAAAAAAAGCATGCATGAAGGTGAAGAAGGAGAGGATGTGCTTACATATTTTGTCTCCAACCCTGAAGACCCGACCCGATAACCAGGATCCGACATCCAAGGCGGTTCCCCAGCCGCCGTCGCCGCCGAGGACGTGGTGGGTTTGGGCTGAAACCGCAGCCCCACTCAGGACAACAACCGCCGCAAAAACGGCGGCGAACGCCTTCAAAAGTAGTTCAGCCATACAAATGAAGAGAGTGAAAAACTGAAAAGTGTTGATGGGTTTGAACAAATGTTAAGGAAACTAAAATATTAATAGAGAAAGTTAGGGGAAAACTTTTGAAGGGTAGGTTTGACAGTTTGACTGTGCCTTTCACCTTTTTACAGTGGAGTAAAAGTTAGGTGCGAATAATAGGATCAGGATGACAAATTGTACTCGTCTATTAGTCGTATCCTTTTTTCATTATAATTATCATGAATATAATAATAAATTTAAATTTGACCATATTTTATATATATATATATTGTTGCATACTTGTAACATTTATCATTTATTTTTTCGTTATTATATTTTTTTCTATTATATCTGTTTGTATTACAAAAATCTAGCCTTAATTTATTTGTAGGTATTCTACACATAATGTGATTTTGCGCCACATGCCGGCTCTTTCTCCTAAAGAAAGTTCCACCTACCTATTCTACTCATTTTTCCTTTTCTTTTTATAATTGTTCGTGTGACCTTTTTACTATCACATGTAGCGGAAATTCAGTCATTTGCTTTCACCTTTTAGGCCCTGATGGTTTATCACATATATTTGGTCATTTAATTCAACTCAACCCTGTTAAGTATTATAAGTATAATTAAAAAATATAAAATTAATCTTACTCACACATTATATGAATTTTAATTCGTTATACATGCACTCACATAATTTTCTTTATTCAAAACTTTCAATCATATTTTCCATACTTTTACGTTAAATCAACATTAACATTGTATTTTAAATATTTTTTAATATAAAATTAAAATACACTCAAATCTAACTTAATCACCTATTTCAAAATTAACTTTAGTTAATTAACAAATTCAATCAAAACTAAAATAATTTATATCCAATCATCTCCTTAGGCTTTAGGACTTCAAATTGAATATGACTTTCTTCATATGTTTGGTATCCAAATAAGTTAGTTTATAGCTTATTTGGTTAATTTTAGAAGCTTCATGTATTCAAATAAGTCTCGTTCGGTAGGACGATATTTTTTAAAAAGCTTGAGCTTAAGCTACTTTAGGTAGTTTTTCAAATAAGTTGGTTGAATTTTTTATTTCAGCTAGCTTATCAGCTAATTTTACCAAACACTTTTATCATATAAGCTAGTTTTACAGCTGTAAGCTCGAAAATTACGTATAAGCTATAAGCTAACTTATCAGCTATCAGCTAACTTATCAGTCAATTTTATCAAACATAACTTTAGTGGGCTCAATCAATGGTAACAAAGCCAAAACCCAATTTCGGGCCAATTCAAGTTCGTCATTTTTTATGAACTGAATAGGCCCTAGTAAGAAAAAAAGTTGGTTCAATGAACCGGTAGACTCGGTTCGAGAAATTAAAATAAAAAAATAAAAAATAATATTAAAAAGAGAATTAGCTTTTAAATTAGAATTTTAACGTTGTGTTGTCGGTTTTCGTTTGGAACATAAACTGCCGGTTTAATTTTTTAAAAAGCATGAACCTGAATCGACCAGGGTAAAACTACAAACCGATTCAAGTGGTCAACTATTTTGATCGGGCCGGTTCGACCCGTGACCGCATCTACTCAATGGTAGAAAATCTTGCTAATGCATTTTCTAAACATGATGGACAATTACAACTGTGTGTTTTTTTATATTACCCAATCAAGGTTTTATTTTATTGAATTAAATTTTAATTATATGCTCATGATAATATTATATGTAATTACTGACATATTGGCATATCACATGTGTTAGTCTTACCCAATTAATAATGGTATTACCCTCCTAGTTGAACTCAAATGAACTGTTGATTAGTACAATATTCAAAGTAACTTTGAACTAATTTCTAATTATTATTATTATTCATTCATTTGTAATTATGACTGTCACGATAATCCTTACATTTCAAATACAGAAACATATCTTGTAGAATATTTAAGTTGGAAAACAAACAAGGACATTAATTGCTGCTGTACTATGCAGTTCACAAGAACTAAAGTGTAGGTGCTCAAAATTAATGGTTTTTGTACACTGGACAGCATCGGTTTTATCAGCCCTACAAATTACAATAAAAATTTAAAAATAAAGTAAAAAAATCTGTGATTACACGTGCACCTTCAATTCGAGTTGCACGTCTCGCTACTTTCGAACATATGCAGTCTTCGCTTAAAGAAATGTTAGGTGAGTTTCTGCCTTGGGATTGGATGAAATATTAGCCCTTCAGCTGTAACTTGTGTAAGATCCCATCGCCACATAGTGAACACTGAACAACAAGAGATTTTTTTTTTTTTTCTTTTTTAAAAAAACAGTAGAATACTAGAATTGTATTAACAAGTATTAAAGTATAGACTAGAAAACAACTAATAATAGACAAATAACTCATAAAATAAGTTAGATCTGGAGAGAGGTCTATACAGAGATAGTTTAGAAACAAACACACATTAAACAAAAACTACCTAACTTTGTACCGGAGAATGAAACATTTCTATAATGAAGAATACAAACACAAATACTCTAATCTATATCTATACTTATATAAAAAGGGATCCTATTTACTACAAATAGTATCCAGAAAAGTTAACTACAATTAATGTTATTACTATTTCCAACATGTATTTAATTTAATTATTTTATATTAAATTAATGTTATGCGATTCAATTAATGCTATGATTATTCCCATACAATCGGTTTTCCTGCGAAAAAATCCCACAAAATCGGCTTCAATTTTTTGTATATTTGAAAATTTAATTATTTTATATTGAAATTATGCTATGCGATTCAATGCGATTCAATTAATGCTACTACTATTCCCATACAATCGGTTTTCCTGCGAAAAAATCTTACAAAATCGACTTCAATTTTTTGTATATTTGAAATTTCCTTCTTATCATCTATTTGTTTTATCCAATACAATCCGTATAGTCAACAAAATCCCATAACATCATTTTATACTTTTGGTAGATTGAAATTAAAATTTTCTTCTTACCTTTTTAACAAAAATTTTATTATTTATATATTAAAATTCTGTAATCCGATTTCAGATTGTACTGCTGAAAATTCTGTTCTGATATTTTTTCTTTCTTATCTTCTAACAAACATTAGATGTTTTTATTAGTATAAATGTTTTAGTAAGATAATATATTAATTATTTTACAAGTTAGCCCTAACATGCTCATATTTAATGTTCTGGCTAAAAAAACGATGGTTAAAAGATGTGGAAAAAAATTTATAATAACCCTATTGTTTTTTAGACTTAACAGTATTGATTAAAAGAAGTAGAAAATAGATAATAACCCTATTATGTAGAAAATAGATAATAACCCTATTATTTTTTAGACTTAAATGAACAAGGCTGTGAAAATAACTTATTTAATATCTCTGTCCCGTGCATGGCACGGGGTACGTATATATATAATAAGAATTACTATTTACTAAAAATAGTAGCAAAAAAAATAGGTTAGAATTTAATGCAGCCTATAAATAGTAAGTTCTATTATTTTTTTTAATTTTTTTCTTTAAAAATCATACAACAATAAATGTTGCCTTAAATTTCGGGCTTTAGTTCATTTTTTTTTTATTTAAAAAATCCGATTAAGATTTATCAAGTGTGTATGTTTTTATTTTTATTTTTTTCTTACAAACAACGAACAACATTAAAATCTCGGTCTCTATATTTATAAAATCTCAATTCAAAATATAACAAAAGTTTTAGAATCTCGGTCTTTATATTTGTGCATTTAAAAAAAATATTGAACGCTAAAAATATTCTTTAAATTACATAATCAATCAATTAATTTTAATTTTTTGAAAATTACTATGTTTATTTTTTATTAATATGCATAAAGTAAAAATAATGAATTCATCTTTAGAGATATAATTTATAATCTTAATATACTATCATTTGGTAAACATTTATTATATGAATCATAAAAAAAAATTATTTCATAAAATTAAATATATTTAACGAAAATAAGAAAATTTCTTTAGATCAATCGGGTGATGAATTAGGGTACTGCCCATGTTGATTGAATTACTTTTAGGTAATATTTAAAATAGTAAACAAACTTGACACAACTTGGTTCGTCATAGGTGACTAAGTTATGTATCAGTTTGACCACACCAAATCGATTATTGAACCTAAGTATAAATTTAATATTGAAAATATTTTATTACGTGAATGTGATGTAGTCCAAACTTCAAATAACAGTATTAGCAATATTATGACAACATGTTTAATGATTCATGAATATTATATATCATTTTATTAATATTTATGTGAATTAAATAATATTTATTAATGTACAATAAATATAATGTTTTAAGAACTGGACCGTCATCGAAACGATCAAACTATTTTATTAAATCATTTGTGGTTTATTCAAATTTTAATTTAATATATATATATATATATATCATTTGTGGTTTATTCAAATTTTAATATATATATATATATGTATAGTACTTTTTGTAATAAACTTAAATAAAATGTGTTACTTAGATATCTAAACAATTTAAACTAATTGATAAATAATTTATAAATCGCTATTTTATTTAAAATAGTTTTAAATATAACAAAATTTATGTATAAAATCGTATCGATTCTACCAGTCCAACCTACTGGTGTTGACGGATTCGAGAGCAAATATTTTATTCAAGCGAACTAGACTGGTTATTAACCGGTTCTCAGTCCATCCGGTCGGACTGTGTCCAACCCGGTTTAATTTAAAAACAATGGATAAATCATGATTAATGTTATTTATATATTTAATTTATAATACAATCGTAATATTGTTTTTCCATGCATGACACGGGTCACGCACTAGTTTTAGAGCATCTCCAATGTGATTTTTGACATTGCAAAAAATTATCCATATCATCAATTTTTAAAAGTTTATTACTAATTTATTCTCCAATGCATCTTGTCATTAACTCTTTCATGATGATGTGGATGACATTTAATGTTGACAATGTTGAACTCACTTTCTAATATCTAACACCATGTTAAATATGATGACTCATTAATTCACTTTATATTTGGTTTTATTTTTTATTATTCTTGTATTAATGAATTATTATAATTGGTCCACCTATACAAATAAATTCTTATCAAATTGATGCATTGGAGATTCTAGTTTGATTCAAATTTTTAGTCTTTTAACATTATTCCTATGTGAATTAACATTACAATCATCAATTGACATGTGTTAAAAATTATTGTCTTTCAAAACCATAGCATTGGAGATGCTCTTATAGTTAAACATAGTTATGTTATAGTGTCCAATTTTCACTGTCCGACCGAATAGGATATTTAAGATTTTTTTTTTTCTTTTTTTGGAATAGCTATTTTGGAATATTTTTTTTAACCTTTTGTTCTTAGATGATATTGGGAATTCGGGATGTAATTGGACAATAGTAGAGTCCAATTGAAACATTTAAATTTGAACAAATATTTTCTTCTTATATGATGTCAAATGACCCAAAATGACATAGAAATATTGGATAGATTCATGACATTACTGCTGACGCAAATTGCCTTTGACTCGGTTGAACCGCAAACTACGAACTTCACCAGTCTGGAGCTATGGTGACCTGTAATTTTTTATATATTTTTTTTTCATTGTTTTTTTTTTTGNATTATTATTATTATTATTATTATTATTATTATTATTATTATTAGCCCAAGGCTCGCCAGGCTACCCCGAAACCACTAGGACTAGCCCGTTTAATACCTCTAAATCTTAACCACGACGTAACCCCAAATAACCTACAAGCCATGATGTCTCTCATATAGTCTAACTCCATAGGTCTTCCGACCTCCAAGCTACCTGGATCTCTCTAGTGTCTGAGCTTCCTTGGCCTACCGACTTCCGAGCTAAGTGGAGCTTGTTTAAGTATTAAGTCGGATGGAGCTCTCCTGGACCGTTTACGACTGGGCACACACTTCTAACTGGTGAACCGAGCTATTCTGGATGCTATATAATCTAGCTCTACCATTCTTGAATGTACTACCTAGACTTGTTCATGGATGTTCTCCACGCATCCGGCCGCTGCGCGAGTCTAGTGCCTTGAAATGCATAACCTAGACATTCCTGCCCTCCAGAAATGTCCCTTCAAATTCCCTTTGCACGTTCTGCCAATTTACACTCTAGATCCGTATTTGAAATTAACGCTCCTAATCATCTGACGTTTGGCTTTTTTGACTCTCCATCTTCTTGGTCCAATCCAGGCCACCCAAGCCATTCTTAATCGGACGACTCTTCGTCGACCTTGACCCGTGCCATCATCTTTCCCCATTTAAAGTTGTGTGCATTCATCTTCTTCAAAATTTTCACCTTATGCACTCTAAAGTCTCCCTTGGTAAACAAATACTCCGGCAATCCTCAAGATTTTTCAGATGATTTCATAAGCTTCCAGATCTTCCTTATCGCAACCATCATGCCAAACAAATTTATGGGTAAGTTTCTCCGATCTTCTCACCATTCTTGTGATTGCTTTCCTCTTTTTTATCCTCTTTGATTTTATCTTTGACACTCAGACGATCGCCACTCTCTTTACAACCTTTTTGTTAATAAAAGCTCCAGCAGTCATGTCGAATTCTGACAATACCTCATTCTCGATCTCCGAACCTATAGAAGAACCCTCTTTAACCCCTAGCTCTTCCTCTTCCACGCTATCAATCTGACTAGGTCACCATGGTCACTGGCGTAAAAGCCAAAGGCCTATGTCCTTTTATGAGGGTAGTCAAATATGACCCTATCTCCTTCTACTGAATCGATCGTATTTCTAACCTCCTCTTTGTTATTAAATTCCCCCAGGGTTGGGAATTTAGGGTTCCTAAGTTCAGGGAATTGTTCGATCATCCCCCCCAACTACTACACTTTTTTTCTCGACTAAGCTGAGGTCGAACTAAAACTTCCCCCCAAGGATGACCTTGTAATGCTCAGTTGATTATATTGTCTTTCCTTAAACCACTTCTCCCCGAACTCTATTCGTACTCTGGTTGGGTTTATCATGTTAAGATGAGCTCGACTTGGTAGAGTTGACCTCAGTTTTTGTTTTTATTGCTTCTGGATGAAGCCCCAAAAAGGCTCTTATTACCTTTCTGGTCGCAACGGTGCTAGCTTCTTCATGACCATCCCTCCAAGGTCGCTAACTAAAAAAAAAGTATTATCTTATTCGACCTCCTTCTCGCACCTTTGACTTTTTGCCCGTGTGGTTTCACGAGCTCTCAGGCCAAGTGAAAAGACCCAAAGCCTGCGCCAAAGTTGCTTTAATTTTCCAGTAGAATGAACGACCCTTCCTCATCATAAAACTAACCAACAACTGCAACTCTTATCTCACTGTGGGCTCTCTAACTGCTCGGCATAGTTCAACACAACCGATTACTAACATAGGTAGGAACCTTATTGTACTTGCGATTATATCGTTGACCTCTGAACTAATTATGACTCATTTTCTTAATTTTTCTTTTTTGCAAATCCTTGTTCCGCACAATGACCGTTGAGATGTTTTCGTAGGGGAGCTCAAGCATCGGAGGGCCTCGTGCCCTCGGCCGAGCGGCTCCCGTATGCTGCTCACTGACGATGGTGGCATTGTAATGCCCCGTTTATTTGTGAATTATTTGGGATTTATTATTATTATTTTTATTATTATTATTATTGTTATTATTAATTGGTGATAATATTTATAATTTATTTTCTTGTATGCCAATATGTTTATTAATTGTCAAATGTGATTAAATGCTAATTGTGTAATTGTCTAATTGATTTTTGTAATTTATTTAATTATTATCGTGTACTATAAAAATATGGATAATATATATATACATTGTCCGGTTTATTTTTATCGCGCGTTTGCATTCGAAATCGAGCCCGATAATTTTCGTTGGAACCGAAATTGGCCGAAAATGTCCGTTTAAATTTTTAATCGATCCCGTGAGCCGATTTGTTGTCCCAACCGGCCCAAAAATCCAAATTTGGCCTAACTTCTCGGGCCCGGCCCGACAAATTTTCCTCCCTCTTTATTTTCTCGCGTGATGTGTGTGTGTAGGATTTTCTTGTGATTAAAGAAAGTCAAAACCTAATTCTATTGTGTATGTATACATATACATCTCCCTGTATCTATATATTTTTTTTTTTCTCTTTGATATAGCAAATCGCCGCAACTCAATCCTCTCACTCAATCTCTTGTTTTCTCTAAAAAATCCGAACTCGCACGCCACCACCGATCATCATCCTCTCCTTTCCTCTGCAAAATCCCGTCGCCCTTTCTCCTCCCTTCCCGGCGAAACCCTCCTCCAGCGAGTTTTCACGGCCCGCTGCTCCTCCGCGCGCAGGCGACCCGCCACCATACTCCGGCGGGTTCTTCTCCACGAATTCTTCTGCTCCTTCGCACGCCGTGAATCAACCACTGCAGTCCGGCGAGCCAGCCATCGCCGCTCCCTTTTTCCCCGTCCACGAAGCTCCTTCCGGCGAGTTCTCTCCACCGCACGCAGGACCTCTTCCGCGAGCCGCTGTTCGCGAGCCCCTCCTCCGCCCAAGACGTAGCTGGCCGCCGTTAGCATCTCCTCCACCAGCAAGCCCGTCACGGCCCTTTCCGGCGAACCCCTCTGCGTGCTGACCCACTCACGAGCCCTCCTCCACAGCCGCAGCTTCTCCGACGAGCCTTTTCAGCCGCTGCTGCTTTCCGGGAGTTCACCGGCGAGCCGAGCACAGCCGTCGAGCCTGAGCAGCCACCGAGCGCCGTCGCTTGCCGTCACGTTTTTGCCGTCGAGCCCCGCACGATCCTTTCTCGCTCGTTTTTCCCGAGAACGGTATCGAGTATCGACCCCTCGTTTATTATTACGTGATTTATGTTGTGCTCGGACGTGTTGTACGTGTTCGTTGAATTATTATATGCGTTTGAATCGTTTGTTATGAAAATATATTCGTGATTTTATGTGTTCGTATGTTCGGGATCTATTCGATTTTCTCAAAAATCGAACGAGACCTCGAAAGTCGTGTAAGTCGGTGGATAATGGAACAATGTCGAGTCCTTGGTCTTATGGAAAGGCCTCGGACGATAAATTTTATGTTGTGATTTAATTGCCAAGTTGTCGAGCTTGTTAATCGCTGTTTCGGTGTTTGAATTTTTAAAAATAGCTCGCTGCTCGAAACGATGTGAAATTTTGAGGAATGTGTTATATGTTCATTGCCTGCCTTGTGTAAAATTTTCGTAATTTTTGGAGGCCTGTAGCTATTTTTAATAATTAAATTGTAATCTGTCCAGAATATTGATAAATGCATAAAAAAATTCATGTCTGACTGAAATGAGCTGAAATTCGAGTATTTCATGCCTCTGAGACTTATATGTGTTGTGTTTAATTTGTAGAATTTTTGGAGTTGATTTGATGTGGTAAATATTTTATTTATCGAATCTGCAGAAAAGTTGTTTGAATTTTTATAAATTGGTTACTGCATGAAAAATTCTGAAATTTTACTGAGAGGCCTATTTTGTGTGTTTAATCATGTTTGTAAAATATGGGAATTTTTGGAGTCCGTTTTCATTCAGTTTGGTTTTAAATTAGATAAACTGTTGTTGCTCGTTTGAATTTTTAAAAATAGCAGCAGTTATCATTTAAGGCTGAGATTTTTATAAGTGGACTTTGGCATACTGTATGTTGTTGTGTAAAAGTTTCAAGATCAGATTCATTCATTAAGTATGAGTATGAATTAATGTGCCCATTTTGCTGATATGTTGTTTGAATTTTATAAAATAGGATATTTTGAGTTTGAAGCTGAAACTTTGTGATATTACATGTTTCTGGGAGATGAAATTTTGTGTAAATTTTCAGAGCTTAATTCGTAGGGTAGCTTGATCATCTATTTTCATGCGATTAACTGATTTCTATTTCCGAACATGATTTTTATATGAAATTTGGAAATCGACTTGCTTTTTGGTTTTTATGTGAGTTTGACTTGGTCAATCCTTAGATGGATTTGTGTGAACTCCCTTATGTGGTTTGGTCGAGTTTAGAGCCGAGTCTTAGTGTTCCAACATCCACAGGACTTCACGAACTACTTAGTCGAAACGAGTTCGACTAGGTCTGTCTTGTGATTTCTGATTTAAGTCGAGATAGATTCTGATTGTAGGATCTTGTCATAATGTAGGTGTTTAAGAGGTGTTGACCTCGCCTCGTTTCTGGATTTGTGATTCTGTGAACTGTTGCTGCTATCAGGTGGGTACATTTATGATGTATTCCATATTTATCGCACTCATTATTTCGTGTAATGTTTTCTTTTGAAAATTATTGTATGCATGAGAACTCTAGTCTAAGTGTCCCGAACGATAGTGCCTTTGACGAATGCATAACAGTGAGAGGTCACCTGCCCGTTGTATCCGGGAGGAGACGCCCTGATCCGTGTGAGTTTCGGGGGGGAAAAACATCTCCACTGTCTCCTGGAAAACATCCATGATCCGTGAGTAGTTCGGGGTGGACTCCCATGATCCGTGAGTAGTTCGGGGTGGGGGAAATTTTCCAGTTACGGCCTTGCCGATGTTTGGTCGGAAGGTTGTTGTATGTACATAGGAGGTTTGCGATAGGGCCAAGTAGGGAGTTAGACTGTTGGATTCTATGCATACTGAATACTATGGTTATGATGGTTTAAAAATGTTATGCGAGATATACTGTGCGATAATGGTGAGCTTGTTGGTTATGCTCACCCCCATTATTTTCTTGTTGTCTTCTCTCTTCCTTTGTATTAGGTTGAGACGAGCTGGAGGCGGTGGCGTAGGACGAGCGAGATGGTGGTCATTAATTGATGTGTCTTTGCTTCCGCCTATTTTTATTATATGATGAACTACTTGCTTTTATTTTGGATTATTTATGCTTCAGCTTGAAAACATGTTTGTGTTGGATGAACCATGGATTTATGTTAAACTTTTTGGATAATGTTGAGACTTGAATAAGCAGGTTTATTTGTATAACTGTTGGCTTATGTATGTGTAGGATTTGGTTGAACTTTGAATAAGGCTAGACCTTTTAAAATGGTTTGAGACTTATGTTTTGGTATTTGTTTTATTGTTAGCTCGTGCATGTGTGTTGTTGGTTGATGTTAGGAAGTAGCGCCCGTTTCTCGAAAAAGGTTTTAACTTAGATTTAAAAAAAAAAAAAAACTCTGATTTTTATTAAATAAATTCGATAAATTCTGTAAAATAAAACGGGGCGTTACAGGCATACAGGAGTACGACGACCCGCCTGTGTTTGACGAGAAGCCATCTCTAGAGGAGGTGCATGTGCATGACAACGTCGGTCCGACGTTTTTGCTTCGTAATGATTACAAAGCTAGAGAGTCTTGTAGCATGTTCTATGTTGCTCGAGGCTTAGACTCATCAATTGACCAAGTGCATGACATTGATATGCCTGATACCTTTGCTTCAAGTGTTGATGGCAGTGAGCCCATATATGAAGAGGAAGAGTGCAACAGAAAACAAGTTGGCAGAAGTTGTGTGATTGATGATGAATTTAAGGACAGAATATCAATTAAACCTGATGGACTGATCCAGAGAATTTTTAAGAACAGTGCAAGTCAACTGACCATATATGGCCTATTTTGCTTACACGAAAATGTTTAGGAGCGCGATCTGTGTGTGTTCTTTAGGAACCATCATTGCAACACTATGTTTAAGTGGACTTCAACCATGACAATAGGCCTCTGGCAAGGATACTGGGGATCACAGTTGTCCCGTCATTCAAGATATTGAGGGATGGTGAAATTGTTCAAGAAGTTACAAGATCCAATTTAAAGAAGTTGAGATGAAGAAATTGACAGTAGATACCGAATTATGTTATCTTGTGGATGCGGTCGGTATAAACAAGCGGCTTTTTGATGCGGTCGGTATAAACAACCGCCGTTGAAAAATCTAGCGTTGGAATCATCAAAATCCAACAGAAATTCCAATGGAAAACTCATTCTAACGGAATATTTTTGTTGGATTTTCCATTGGAATCTATTGAAAAATTCCAACGGAAATAATAGTATTGAAATATCTATTAGAATTACCGTTAGAATAATATATTTTAATAGAATATATTTCTCTTGAAATTTCAACATTTTCTTGTAGTGCTCATATCATTATCGGAATATAATATAATAAAAAATAAAAATGTTATAGCTGAAATACAAACGAGTTTGATAAATTGAATATAATCATTTCTTTCTTAAAATTTTATATAAAAAGTAAAAACCAAAACCCTTCCAAGCAATCAAAGAATGTTCTTTCCAATTTCCACAACTGCAAAAATTTGCTCAAACTTCATAACAAAATGTAATGCCAATCAATACAAAATTTATCCAAAACATTATCACATGATTTTTACTTCATAACTGTGCAGGGTGGAGTAAAACAATATCATCTTCCTCAGGCAATTTAAAAGTCACCTTCTTTTGCCGCTTATTATTATTCCCTTTCCTAAGGCTTCTCGCCCTTATGCAACTTCTGGGCACCTTCACGCCTTCTTCGTCTTCCTCATCAAAACTTGTTCTTGGCGTGTAATAATTATCATCGTCGTCCGAGAAAGAAGGGTACACTTTCTTAATTCGGTTCTCAATTTCGACTTTGCTTGCAATAAGCGGCCGATTTTCTTTATTTGACGGCCTCAAACAGCATAGCCTTTGTCCCATAATTCGTGTATCATTTGATCTAGGAAAAAAAACTGAAGAAAAAAATAAAAAATAAAAAATGACAAATATTATTTGTGTGGGGATAGAATAATTTGGACAATAGAACAAAAATCAACTTAAGAATATAAAGATTGTACCTTTTTTTTCCAAGATTGAGTTTTTCGTTTAATTGGGGTTCCAATCTTGATCCATAGAACTATAGAAGCATAAAGGGGATTATAGAAGTAAAAATCAGGAAATCAAAAGCCTTTTTTTTTTTTTTTGAACAAANAAATCAAAAGCCTTTTTAATGGATATAATACATTAATATCCTATATATCCAATTATTTACTTAAAAGTAGGTTGATTAGAGACAATCCCATTAATTTGGCCGGAGAATATTGTCTAAATTATATTATGTGTAATTTGACTTTACCTAAGATTGATACAGCAACCTGTTTCTCAATCGTGAGTAATTTCTTCGTGCTTCGTTTTCTCTTTTATATTTTCCATTTTCATCCACAAAATTGACATATAATCTGCAGAGCATGATAATTAGCCGGCTCTTCGTATGGCCATTTTGTTCAAGATCGGAAAATATATGGTATATGAATTTTACAAAATCTTCTTTGTAAAATAATTGGCAAATCGAATTTACAAAAAGTGAATTAGTCTTTTACAATCAAACTAGTACGTAACCCGTGCGATGCACGAGATGTAAAATTTGGAAGAATAATATAACCTCACGTGCATTAGGATCGAAATTGAAATCATTAATATACATAGGAACATTGTTGAATCATAAAAAGTTCTGTAACAATCATATATTGTTAAAAACCTCCTTGTACACAACATTGAGTTTGATTATTTGGTAACTCCTCATTATCACAAACTAATATTTTCAAAAGAGACAAATCCTAAAAATCAAACTAATATTTTTGGTGAACAAACTAATATTTTAGGATTTCTAGGATTTGTCTCTTTTTGGTGAACAAACTAATATTTTAGGATTGGTTATATGAATAAGGCTACCTGTTTTTTGTGTTCTTTTCATTCATTTTCATTCAAACAATCCGATGACTTGTATAATGAAATCCGAATCTTAAGCCGAAATATTTAACAAAAGAGTTTTTAAAAATTGAAAAGTCAAGACAATCAGTTCAGATTAATTAAAAGTCAAAGAATATCCGCTCCTTGAAATAAAGACGTGTGATATCATTAACCAAATATCTGGTTATTGATATAGAGTGGTTACCAAAAAATAGAACGCGATAAGGACACTTCGTGGAAATATCAATGGGATAAGGTCATAACATATCGCTATACATTTATGATAATTATGTCGTAATTAATGAATTAATTAAATGTGTGAAAAGGACATAATTAATTAGAAGTGTGAAAATGACATAATTAATGAGAAGTGTGAAAAAGACATAAAAGTTACCGATTTTGGAAAATAATTAATGCAAAACTGACTTTGACCATTAATTAAGTTACTAATTTTGATAAATGTTAATTCTTATTATATAAGTATAGATTTATTGGCAATATCTCTCTCTATAATAATTGGCAAAAAAATTATGGTAGTTGTTTTCGTTTTACCACATTTTTTCGTTACATTTTGCATTAATCAAGTAATTATATTTTTTATTTATTTTATTATATAATAGCTACAATTAACTGAACATAAAATAACATTAAATGATATCAAAAAGTGAATTAGTCTTATACAATCAAATTTATTGGCAACATCTCTCACTATATAATTGGCAAAAGAATTATGGTAGTTGTTTTCGTTTTACCACATTTTTTCGCTTCATTTTACATTAATCAAGTAATTATATTTTTTATTTAATTTATTATATAATAGCTACAATTAACTGAACATAAAATAACATTAAATGATATTCCATCCTAGAATATTTTCTTTCAATCTATTTATTTAAATTATTATTTCTTTTTAGCTCATTAAGATTTTTTTTAATTAAAATTAGTTAACTATTATTTATGGCATAACCAAACTCATAAAATTCCATACATAATTGTTGAAATAATAATTTCAACTTTATTTTATCTAATTAATTTGCCATAATCGGCCAAGATTGCAAAAATTACATCATTGCATCAAATATAAAGATTAATGTGTAATTTAAATAATTATATTTATATCAATCATTTTTTCTAATAATAAAATTTATAAAATGTGATATGCTCATTGTAATAAATTTAACGGCCATACTCAATACTATTAGGCGGAATTGAATAAACCCTAAACATGTAATTCTATCAATTCATCGAATTTCGATCTTTGCATAAATTAAATTGCACATAAAATTTACAAGAATCTAACTTACAATCCTTCTCAGTTTTCTTATCTATAATATTGATCTACGATTCTCTTTCTCATAATCTCCAATGATGAGTTTGTCTTTGCCTATAATTTGTTTCGCTCTCCCCCACTCTCGTCTTTCTATAAAGCCCTTGATGTTGAGAACTTTATTTTCGTATGAACCGAGAGAGAAGAACATGTAGTAGTATATATAGGAGAAGATCTATAATCCTAATCCTATTAACATTCCCCATGTTATTTTTTTTTTCGATACAAACATTCTCCACGTTCTAACCTAACTTATTGTCTTAGTCAAACATCACAAATTAGACTCTTTAATATTAAAATATTAATAATACATGAATACATATTCTCCTTAATTAAGTTTAACTATTAATTCAATTAAGTCCAATAAATTATATGGTCCACAATAATATAAGAATATAAAATATTCTTACATTCATTATTTAACTTATGATTTATTACATCCACATACACTTATAATATATAAGATTTTATTTGCATATGTACTTATGCATACGATTGAATACTAGTTGGTACAAATTAAATATGTACGTGGATATCATTGATTCAGGATTCACTTGTTTTTATAGTATTAATAGTATTCTTTAACTAGTGCACATGCACAAAAGATGTCAATTTTATTATAGTAAGTTAAATGAAGTTTAATTCAATATATGAAAAAATTATGGTGAAAAAAATTTTGTGTGTCTCTTGTACCAACCGAACTGCTAAGATCCGTACCAAATTAAAGGTTGTTTATAAACAAGTTATCTTCTATTTCTATAGAATGAACTTTTAGATAAACAATTTATTCATAAGTCTATTTTCAATTTGACACCAAATATAGATATTCATTCAAATAATTTTTTACATCCAAAAGTCCATTTGAAAAATGTTTTCAAAATATATTTTTAAGTGTAATTCATGAATTATCTATTTTATATATTATTCATTTTCGTCACATGTATTTTACGGTGTACCAATAATTAATGCAGCATTTTACCCCATGAATGTTACAAAGAAATGAATCAATCATGCATAAGCCCATCGTCTTAAACTTCCATGATTCTTCAGAAACAAATTAAACTTGTCTAAGAAATTAGAACGAAAGAAAAAAAAAAATGAAGAAATAATTTGTAATATTAATTTAAAAAATATCATACATCCAAGTCCAATAACAATCTATACATACAACTGGTTCACAAAGGACAAAACCCGAACATTTTCACCTTTTGGCTAAATTCAACCCGAGCTATCCATTTTTCTTTTCCAGGTCAAATTTTCATTGCCTAATTTAAATAACTAATTAAAAGCCGCCGCCAAATTCCCAACCGCCACGCTGGACCCCCAAATCCCCTCTGCAGTAAAACGACGTCGCACCAGTCACCGGCACAAACCCCACCGACCGGCTCCCGGCCATCCCCACGGCCGCCTTCACCGTCGGAACCTCATTGGCGGTCCTTCTGTAGAATCCCAACCACTTCGCCTGCATGTAACTGAGGCGGCGCCACGGTGGCACGCTCATCTCCGCCATCTTCATCGATTTTCTCATGGCTTTGGACATTAATTTCACCACCTTCTTCACTTCCTCGGGTTTACCCACGAAAATTGGCGGGAAAATTTCGAGGACTGAGGCGTAGCTGCTCGTTTGTCGCGCGATTGAGAATTCTCCGGCTAGGTTGACCTCGACTACGTAGCGGCCGCCGCCGGAGTTGACGTCGATGTACTCGTAGCTTCCCGACGGGTTGCGCCCGTTTTTCTCCCACTTGGATTTGCAAAGGCCTGCCAAGAAAGAAAAAATTAAAAAATATTATTACTACAAAAAAGAGGGTAAAGAAAACAAATTTCCCAAAAATTAGGTCGCAATTCGCAAATTACAATCTAAAAAAATGCTCACCGGCATCCAAGCCTCTGCCGCGCAGCCGCGCCATCAGCTGCCGCTTGAACTCCGTCGACGAGTCGATCTCGCCGGAAACCACCGCCTCCACCTCCGCGTGAATGCTTCTCTTAACGGCGTCGTCTTGCAGATCAAACAATTTCCTCAGAGAATCTCGCAACTCGATCTGATCATCCATAGCGTCGATTTCAGCTTCGCCGGCGTTAACCTCGTCGCTGTCCTCCTCCTCCTCCGCGCTCCCGATTTTCCGGTCATTGAATTCCCTCTCTAAGAAGGAGTTCACCAGATCGGAGAGATCGGCGGAGTGCTCGCTGCCGCTGCTTTCGCAGGATTGGAGCCTCGACATCTCGTTGAACGCCGCCGCTACACGCCGGAAGCTCACCGGAATATTCGCCATCGTATGTTATTTCTCACTTTATCGCTTTTAGGAGAAACTGATTTGAGTTGGGAAAAGATACTCAGCATATGCTTTCTTTGTGCTTTTATAGATAGAGAAAGTAGCGAACGAGTTTGGTGGGGAAGTGGACAAAAGTGGTCAAGCGACGTCGTTTGGATGTTGGGATGGTGTTAACATTCAGAGGAAAAATGGAGTCACTTCAGTGCGTAGATGAAGACATTTTGTCGATAGGATGATGATTACGAACGATATATATGAGCCTATGTATGTATATATTTGCAGGTGTTTGCACCAGGGAATGTACCTAGAGTCGGAAATAGGACCAGGTTCAATATCTAATTTAGCTCAAAACTTGGGCTTTTTTTTTATGGAAGTGTGGTTTACCTGAGCAGGGCATGGGGATATACATGGACTGAACAATTTATTTATTTTTATGTCGTATGCATATTAAAATAATTATCAATATATATACTTGAGATCCTGGTAAATTAAAATAGAATATAGCATGAAATTTCTATTGATAGCCAAATTAAGTCAAGTTATATGGTTCAGTTCAAACTTTCAATAGAAAAATAATGTAACATTCTATTCGTCAAATATATCCCTCTCCATATATTGATTCAAAATATGTTGAGCCTAAGTGGCAGATTCTCACGCTTCGGATAACGAAAATCTATGTTTCATATTGTTGTTTATATATTAATTTTTGCTATGGAGTTAGGCTTGGTACTATTAGACATAAATACCTTTTTTCAAACATGCTAAGTGTATATTTAATTTGTTATTTTTTTCTCTTAATACACATTTCCTTCCTAGTTTTAGTAAGTAGCAATTTACCATATTATAATTTTCTCGCATATTTCTCTCCTAAATTACGATTTACAAATTACTTTCTGCACTGTCTATTCCTCTCTTTTTTTCATCAATTAATCCATCAAAATTTTCAAATAAAAAATTAGTTTAGCAATAACTTTTATCATATATTTCTTAACTCAATACTCGTGTTGTATAAGAGTAATGTACTAGTATATATATATATATAGGGGCTGGTTCAAATAAAAACTATGTCTGGTGTGAGAACCGTGAGAACCATATTTGATGCTATTTTTAATTGTGTATGATGCTATTTTTAATCTTACATGGTGCTATCATTTTCATAAATGCTAATAAAAAATTTGTTGCTATTTTTAATCAAATACATCCTAGTTAAAAATAGCACTAAAACACAATTAATCATAGCACTACATACAATTAAAAATAGCGGTTCTCACGGTTCTCACACTAGGACTTGGTTCTCATTTGAACCACATCCTATATATATATATATATATATATATATAGAGCGAGAGAGAGAGAGAGAGAGAGAGAGATGGATCAACTGAGGACACTGTTAGTGTTATATACTGAATGCTTGGCTTTGCATGTTATTACACATATACCCTTTATGAATGAGAATCATGTTAGATTAAACAAGTTCTACGTTCTGTTGTTCTGCACTTAGATATGGTGGGTCGTCATGGGCGAACCGAAGATCACTCTGTCAGTTACTTGCGAACAAGAATAGTTGTTCACAACCTAGATGGACATGAACACCCCATCCGAACGGTTGTAGTGTCAACTGTACAGTTTGTCTTGACTGATTAGTTGCACTAGTACATTTATGTATTGAACAGGATCCCAGAGAGGAAAAGTTCATTTTATACTGATCGTCGTAAATGAACTAGGCCTCGGTTAATTACTGCGTTCTCTTAACCCGTAAGATATTAAACAAGCATATATATATAATATATATTACTTTGATTCCCATGGGTGATGTTCAGTTCGCTGGATTAATATTCCTACTGTTTTGGGTAATATTATTATATATAGGATGTGCTGTTAGGATATTTACGGTCACCATGTGCGTTAGTTTGATGATGTCCCCGGAGTGAGTTCATGAAGGATTGTTATGCTAAACCCTGCAGGTGGATTAAATTCCGGCATAATAAGAATGTGATGAACGAGCGCTAGCTTCGGTGAAATAATAATATTAATTAATTCTTGATTGTCAGTAATCGAATTAATTAATGGACATTATATCTTAAACGTGGGGAGGTAAATCGAGTAATTATTATTGGAGTCTCAAATGTAATTTGGGCTAGGGAAAGGGAGTGCAATAATATAATGTTGGTGGCCCATTAATATTATTTAATTAATTAGAGGAGTGGGTTTGGCCCACAGTTAGTCTAATTAATTAAGGAGCCCTTTTCCTAATCTCCTTAGGATCCCTACTGTAGCTCTATATATATACATCATTAAGCCCATGAGAAGTGAACCCCAATCCTATTCTCACGTGAAACACGCCTCTCTCTCTAGATCTCATTCGAGCTTTATCTTCTTCTTGTTGCTCCACTGGTACAAGTTGAAGAAGGGTGTATTGAGTAATACAGTAGAAGATCTGTAGGTAAAACGAGACGAAATATATTTTGACCTACAGAACTAACCGGAAGTCCGATTGAGACGTACAGTATACTCAGACGACCGTCTCGACGAGACGGTCGCCGACGTAGCCGGAATCCGACGCCGCACGCGCCCTCACGCGCCGCCGGAAGGTGCCTGGCAGCAAAATCTCGTTTTGATCTGTTTGCATCCGTTTGATCCGGTTTTGATCTGATCTTGTTCGCGCAACCCAAGACGTGATTTGCGGTCAATCAATTGCGGTCAACCGTTCGTGGTCAACCAGATCTACATAAATTTTAAGCCGTAAGTTCTCTACGTCAAACCTTTAGATCCGCTGCGCATAGGTTTACGTTTCCTATTGAATTCGTAATTTGTACATAACGAGATCCTCACAGATCCCAACAGACACTTCTTCACATGAGTACGGGACTCAATTGTAGTCATTCATCTTGTGTTGATCAATGACTTGCATTAATCAATTGGAATTCACCTTAATTACATAATAAAAATAAATATTATTTTATTATATTAATATTACATTAAATTTAATTATATAATAAATTAATTAATAATAAAATAATTTTCCCGACGGCCAGTCGATGTTGACCGCCGAAAACCATGAAAAATAATTGTATATCTTCCTGCCATCCATGTCCGACTATCCACGTCCAGCCATCCGCGTCGGCCAGCAGAACGACAGGACCACTAGAAATTCGACCATGAAAGTTCAAAAATTCGCACAGATTCGTTTACACCTGCAACTCGTCGCCGGAGAAAAATTGAACACCAGGAATTTGTCGTCTTCGTCAGAAATTCGAAGTCTAGGAATTTGTCGCCTTCGTCAGAAATTCGATAATAAATTCGCTCAATCCAGATATTTGTCGTCGCAAATCGTGCGAAGCTGTTTGGAAACGAAGCTCCCTGTGCACTCCTTTGCGGCTGAGGAATGAACAGCGGCTGAGGATAGAACGACGGTTGAGGAACGCAAGCGGGTGTATCGCGGTTGCGGGTATCCTCGATCAACGCGAGGAAAAGGCAGGTCTCTCGCAGCGCCGTCTAGGGTTGTAGATGAAGAGATATTTGTGGTTGATGTGATGAAGGTCGGGTGAGGGTTCAATTTTTCATATTTAGGGCTTGGGCCTGCTTGTGAAAATTAGATGAATTATAGGAGTTTAAATGCAATATCAGAAATTTATATGTTATTGCAATTTAATCCTTGAGGTTAGTCTGTAATTAATTTGAAGTTTGAATAACTACACTATAGCCATTGGGTTTTATAATTATATAAGTAATGCATATTTAATTCGTTTCTTGTGCATATTTAGATATTACACAATTTATATTTTAATTATAAATTATGCAACTTAATAGATTTAATTATATTTAAATTGATTATAAACATAATCCATATTTAGTCCATTCATGCTGCATTTTTTGTTCATACATACGAAATACATTAATAATTCATTCATAGTGTATGTTTGTTATAAGCAAATTAAATATAACATGATGCATATTTAGTTCATCCATAATGTGTATTTGTTATATTTAAATTAAATATATAATGATGCATATTTAGTTAATTGATGATGCATATTTATTTCATTCACGGTGCATATTTAATTCATTAATGATGCATATTTAGTTTATCATAGTGCATATTTATTATTTTTTGATTAAATATAACATAATGCATATTTAGTTCATACGAAATGCATATTTAGTTCATACATAGTGCATATTTGCTATATTTAAATTAAATATAATGATGCATATTTAGTTCATTCAATATGCATGTTTAGTTCATACAATATTTAGTTAGTACGAAATGCATATTTGTTATATTTAAATTAAATATTTAATGATGTATATTTAGTTAATTGATGATGCATATTTAGTTAATAAGAAATGCATATTTAGTTCAGATGCATATTTAGTTCATTTATGATGCATATTTCGTTAATACGAAATGCATATTTGTTATATTTAAATTACATTAAATATATATGATACATATTTAGTTCATACGAAATGAATATTTAGTTAATCCATATTACATATTTGTTATATAAAATTAAATAAATAATGATACATATTTACTACATTCATGATAAATATTTAGATAATAAAAAATGCATATTTAGTTCATCCATAGTGCATATTTATTATATAAATTAAATATATACATGTGTATATTTAGTTTATTCATTATGCATATTTAGTTAATTGATGATGCATATTTAGTTAATGCAAAATACATATTTGTTATATTAAATTAAATATATAATGATGCATATTTAACTCATAGATGTTGCATATCTATACTTATATAATAAGAATTAACATTTATCCAAAATAGTAGGTCAAATTATGGTCAATGTCGGATTTGCATTAAATATTTTCCAAAACTGGTAAGTTTTTGTCCTTTTCACACTTCTCATTAATTATGTCATTTTCACACTTCTCATTAATTATGTCATTTTTACACATCTAATTAATTCATTAATTACGACATAATTATCATAAATCATTCAATCTGAGCTTTTATCGTTAAAATGTATAGCGATCTGTTATGACCTTATCCCATTGATATTTCCATGAAGCGTCCTTATCGCGTTCTATTTTTTGGTAACCACTCTATATCAATAACCGGATATTTGATTAATGATAGCACACGTCTTTATTTCAAGGAGCGGATATTCTTTGACCTTTAATTAATCTGAACTGATTGCCTTGACTTTTCAATTTTTAAAAACTTTTTTTTAAATATTTCGGCTTAAGATTCGGATTTCATTATACAAATCATCGGATTGATTGAATGAAAATGAATGAAAAGAACACAAAAAACAAGTAGCCTTATTCATATAATCAATCCTAAAATATTAGTT